TTGATTGGACCGGGCGGAGCCGGGTATGTCAGCTAGTTATGTCATAAGCTGAAGCATCTGAACACACCTGTGCACATAGGATGGAATTATAACATCCCTGCTTGGCGAGGTAAAATGCGAGAGAAGCTGCCTGAAATGAAATGAAATAACAGCGCATTGTTCCGTAAAAGCACAAATATTGACCGATGCAAGTTTAAATGAAGGATGCCAGTATATCAAGAAATAAATCGCGGACCGGAGGACTGGGTCCATTAGTTATGTAAATAAACAGCTATGAGCAGCATCCGCGTTAATCAATGTTTCTTCGGTATGTTACGTGTACAGTAACATAAAATAGTTGGAGTACGCAGCAATTTCAAACAATTCTGCATCTGTGAAGTTACGGAGAGAATCTTATCCACGAAAGAAATGCATTACCGGAGATACGATAGCTGGACGGGAAAGAATACGATATTGTTTTTCCCCTCCTTACCGGAAAATACTTTGCTTTGAGGGGTTTCTTTACAACTCTCCTCAAGCTTTTGTTCATAGTGAGAACTATGCCTAAGGTTTGATGAGTAGGGCGGAAGCGGCCAAGCCTAGAACCTTCAGGGTGATACCGTACACTCAAATCTGATTATGTGTTAGGTGACTAATGCAGCAAGATAGCGAGACCCGAGATAAGTCAAAAATGTGTTTTCACAATGAGCGGATTCGCGACATTTCTATGTACTCTTGAGGTCCGATTTGGTCTCATTACTTAACGCTTGATGTGAGACCTCAGCTGTTTTAGTTAGACAGGGACCTCACTACCCCACTGCATGATAATCTTACCAATCTCAAACTTGGGTGGACGCGCCTTCGAAAGGATTTTAGATGCTGAATCATGCGATAGCAAAAGGTCAGGGTTACTGCGCAAGGAGTACGTAAGTGATTCGTGGATTCTTCTGTTTCAGTAATCCGTATTGATCACCTGTTGTATCCACTTGAGCGTTGTCGATAGCTCCACCACATTCTTCTTTCTCATGATCTCGTAAAACGTAGCATTTTCATGCATCTCATAACGAAGAATTACGAAGTTTCGATATGTGGCGAAGTCCTCGAGTCTAACAAGATGTCTGGAATCTAAAAGTCATTTATAGCAGAATTTTTTTTTGCTGATCCTACTTGTGCTTCAGCAGCATAAGAGACTCAAGATCCTCGTCGATGTCAGCTTGAGCAATTGTTTTTCTTAGAATCACCAGTACAGCTTTCTGCTTGATTTTGGGTAAAGGAATCATCGTCTTCATGGTTTCACGAGGGAAATCATCGATAACGCAACATGCTCCAAATCTTCCCATATCTGGAGTCAAGCAACAGAGCCGTTGAGGACACAATAGTTTCCATGTGAGAAAGAAGTTCGAGAACACATTTTACGCCTATGGTCCGGACTATGTCGTGCGACCACGTATCGTAAATTTACCCTCTGATTCAACCAGATAGGCGGCTGGAGGGCGG